AATGTCATTACCAATATTTAGAAACATTTTTACTCCCACATTATTGATTTGCACGTTAACAAATTTTCTCTTGTTTTGTGTGCCCATTGCAATATTGTGTATTAATTTCTTCCTGCAAAAAGTTTTTCTCCAATGTGATTTGATATGTCCTTTTTTTACCACAGTTATAGCACTCTGCATTTTTCCATGGACAGTCTTTCCGAAGATGTAATTTTCCACATATGAAACAAGGTTTTATATTCCTTTTTGTGCATTTAAACTTAGCTTTTACCAATGCACATTCTTTATTCTGAAGTTTTTCGGCATCATACTTCAGACTTAGGAATCGTTTAGCAATCGTCCACTATTTCCTGTAGTGTTACATTTATTATTATTTTCAATCTTTGCTAAAAATTTTCATTTGTAATTCAGCATGTTTTTCTGCAGTAAGACCTTGCATGAAAATTAATGCCTTGAATATATCCAAAGTCATTTCCTTTAGTTTAAATTTTTCACATTCTCTGTTGACGGTACAAACATACGTGACAAAATCGTCATCCTCTTTTTTGGTTAAATTCATGCACCTCCAACAAGCATAGAAGAGTGAGCACTTGCCACTAAAAATTTGTAAAATGTGTACAGTTCCTTCAGACACTATTTCACCTGGTTTTCTCAGATTTTTCTTAACAACAACAACGTGTTTTTTTACCTTCTATCCTGCCACCATTATTTCTTAAAAAAAAAAATGTCTGCTAAAATACACAGCAAAAGTCAGAATGAAATTTGAAATTCTTGTAACTCCTGTTGCACGTTTATAAGTTTTGAAAATCTGGTCACCCACTATCATAATTCCAGATATGTGGTGCTTGTTATACCAAACTTCAGTTCAAGTTCCTATTATAACTCCAGTTATAATATTGCGATTTTTATCCCACACTCATGTTTGAGCTCTTCATCGCACGCTATTATAATTTCCTATTGTAAGGTTAATGTTATAACATACATTCACACTTGGTATAATGTAATTCGTTAAAGTATTCTCTATTTGTAATGCTTAGGCTATTGCCATAACACCTGTATAGTTAGTATGAAGACAGACTCCAATACAACTACTAATGACCTCATACCATGTAACTCTTTATAGTATTGGACAAGTTCATAAAGTCACCGGGGGTATACTCTTTAATCCATAACACAAACTTTGGGGGTGGATTCCTGACACCAAAACAAGATATAAACATATGTCGAAAACTCCATGGATATTCATATCATGAATAGTCAGATATGATTTTTACATATGGCTGCGTGAATGGTAATGGATGCGAGGTTGAACTGCTGTATCAGATTGCATTTATAGACCGAAGACAGCCGAGTCATCCAACCTTTGCTACTGTTTATTGTTGTGTTGCTGAGACAGTATCCATGGCACCACAAACTATGGTAATAAATATTTGGGGATTCTATTTAACAGCGTCTACCGTAAACTTTAAACTTAATTCAAAAAGAAAGGATTCACGGACATATGTTTATATGAACTTTTGTTCTTGTTTAGTGTGAGAAACTTGCACCTCCCCACAAGTTTGTAAAAGTATTTTTGATAGAAACTATATATATATATATATATATATATGAAGAAATATAGTTTTAAGGTGTGCTATATTTATGGGATAAAGTGCTCAATATCAGAGATAAAGGGTGTGTAAATATAAAAGTGAACATTGAAGTCAACATTCAGAGGCAACAGGCTGTTTCATGCTGGGCCTTAATCATCATGAAACAGCCTGTCACCTCTAGTGTTGACTTCAATATTCACTATTATTATTTATATATATATATATATATATATATCAGTAATGATACAATATGGTGATCCTTATGGAATTTCTAGGAGGATATAGATCCAGGGAGAGCACTATGTCAAAATACAGAGCAAAATTAATTAAAGAATATCAAACACTTAAAATCCCATAGGTAATAATTTTTAATTTCATGAGAGCTTTAAAGAACAGCTCTCAATCTTCAAGACCTACAAACAAAATCACAAATGAATTAAAAAAAACAAAAAACAAAAAAAAACTGTGGGTTAAAAATCAAGAAATATTGATATCTTAGAATGTGGGAAAAGGCAGAGAGTGTTGACCTAATTTGATATACTGATTTCAGATTTAACATTAGTATGAAGAGGGGAGGGGCATAAAGTGGAGTTAGTTCAGTATGAATTGGAAACAATCCCGTTGGTCACTGTCAACAGCCAAAATTCTAATGCCGATATATTTCATTTAATAAATTATTTGCAAATAATATTAAAAAAGGACATTTTTTAAAAATTTCAAAATTAGCGAAAAAATTTCCATAAGCTTTTTATATAATTAACCAAGAAATTCAAATTAAAACCCCTGAGAGATTTGAATTAATTTGATTTGAACCTTTGTCTGTTGGAGAAAATACTTATAATTAAATATAAAAACCAGAATTTACTTAAGCTTCGAAGTGAACTCATCAAAATACAGACACCACCTTAAAAAATAGAAAAGTACCCTTTTTCCTGGATTATATAAATTCCTATCTGTATCTACATTACTCTAATATTATAGTATATGTTCACATAGAAATATTTATTGCAATCTGACATTTATGGTTTGTGATGTGTAGGTATATATATATATATATATATATATATATATATATATATATATATTTCAAACGCTTAATTTTTCAATCTCCCATTCCCTCACACAGATAGTTAACTTCCCCCCTCGTTTTTGCCCTCAACCGGGTAAGTAAAGCCTCTCTACTCGACCTGTGCTTTACCTCCATCCCAATCCTGCAGCGCCTCTGCAACTTGCCCACTTGGTAACTCTGACCATGCAGTAGTATCGGTTAACATCTCCTTTAACTTCTCCCCCCATAAAGAACCTCCTACCACTAGAACTTCGTTCTATTATCAACAAGCTGACTGGGGCCCATTGTCGTTCCGTGATTTCCTCCGCCTCATGTCCCCTGGGATGGAGTCTTTAAGCTCCCTTATCAGTCCAAGAATGTGCTTCTGAGGTCTCTTCCTGGGTTAAAGCCGGAATCGACGCTTTCATCCCATCAAGGAAATATAGGGTTAAGACGGCGCTCCTGCTCTTGGTTTTCGCTGCTTGCTCAAACCGTCATCTCCTCCAGTTCCCATAAGAACCACTACTTCCACCTATACCGTACCATAAATTCCCAAGTTGGCGACATGTCTGACTGCAATAGACGTCTCTTTGCCGCCGCCCGTAACGATTGTAAAAGCGTGTCTTAAATGATGCTAAGTCACTATTTGCGGCTCGAATGAAGGAACGTGTGCATCTAGATCTCATAAATTTGGCTCCAAAGATTATTGGCGTCTCTGCAAAAGTGTATTGAATAAGTGCATTCAACGGTTCCCAAACTTCAAACCCTCTATACCTCCTCTATTCAACCAGTTCAAAAGTGTCTTGACCTCCTCTATATATATATAAGCAAATATATGGATATAGATCCGACATATATATATAAGCAAATATATGGATATAGATCCGACAGTATAAAAAAAATATACTGAAAAAAATTTCAAAAAAAAATATCCTAATATATATATATATGTGCTGTTAAACATTAAAACAGCATAATGCAACTGAAAAAACAAGCAAAATCCTAATATACTGATTATGCTGTTTTTAATGTTTTTTTTGAAACTATATTTTCTTCATATATCTCAAATATATGGATATAGATCAACCATAAATGTCAGATTGCAATAAATATTTCTGTGTGAACATATATATATATATATATATATATATATATATATTTCTGTGTGATTATAGTTAATTATATATAATTGAATGTGTGTGTGTGTGTGTGTGTGTGTGTGTGTGTATGACTCACAGTATTTTACTATTGTGATTATTGTCAAAAGCATTGCCGATCGTGCTTTGGTTGTTTTAGCCATGAGCAGCACTGTACAAAAAGGGCCATTATATATATATATATATATATATATATATATATATATCTCCCCGTTGAATTCGACATATGAGGTTCAAGCAGATCAGTTCCTAGGAAACTGACAGACCGACAACAGCACATGAGATTTGATTATAGTGGTGAAGGTTTCGTGCAGGACCCTCCACACTTTTTGAAGGGCCGAACACAGAGACCTGGTGCACTATGTGCCACAGGGTCCCCAAACGACCCTCTGCAGGTTTTGAATTCAGAGTTGTCCTTCTCCTAGACCAGTTGCCATCCAAGTCTGTCCTGCTATTTAACCATAGCTGGAGGGAGAAGAAGATGATTCATACCTGTTATCGGGTCCACCCCTTTTTCATACAAGTGGACTCGACCAGTGTGTACTTGGACTGCTGCCGTTAAATACCCAGAGTCAGTCAGAGCAGTGATTGTGATTTAGTTGGAGGTAGAGTAATAGTGTGAGGTAACCGCTTGTGGAAGTCGCAGTTACAAGCACGTAGACTCTAAGGAAGTCCTACTTCGAGACTGTATTTACCAGATTATATATATATATATATATATATATATATATATATATATATATTATTGTTACTAACCGCATTTCTGGATTTACTAACTGTATTACCAATTGTATTATTGTGTAAATACATTTATTTGTTATATTTTATTCCTGCGTTTGTCATTCATTGGAGACCGGATTTCATCTCGGAATCCACAACAATCAACAATATGTTTGCCAAGGGTATTAGCACGTAAGTGAATGTAATGGATTCGACTGGAATTCGAACTCAGCTCTCCGATTCCTCAATTCAAACTGATATCCATTACTCCACCATGCCTCCTAAAATATATATATATATATATATTATCCCATTAATGTCCCCCATGAAATGTGTTATTAATTAAGCAAATTAAATTAAGATCGCATATTAATTACAGGTTAATAGATAACCCAGTAGAACTGATCAACCCATCATTTTTGGGACAATGAATATTAACAGAGTAAAGAGGTATGTGTGTGGCTCTCCACATTTTCCACTTACCTGCCAGGGTCTATCCCAATCAAGTGGGATAGGAAATGCACCCAACCAAGCCCCCAAGATGCTGCAAACTGACAGAATGAAAGCCACCAATGCACAACCAATGTCTGGGCTAAAAAAAAAATAAATAAAAAAAAATAAAATAAAAAGGCTTAATCCATTGTAACTGATAAGTGTCTTGACAAACAAATTAAATAAAATAATTAATTGAAAAACTTAATTAACAATATATATATATATATATATATATATATATATATATATCTTACTTATTATAAAACGCAGATTGTGTGTGTGTGTGTGTGTGTGTCTGTACATTTATATATTGGATTGGATTTCCTACATTTTTCAACCGATTTCAACAAAACTTCACAGGAATGTGTAAAATTACCAGCGCCAAAAATTGGAAAAACAATTGTTTTTGCACAAAATCAATTTGAAAACATGATAAAACACAATGATTCTGTTGCCAGAATGAGAGGGGGACAACTCATATCGAGTTATACTTATTATAAAACCCAGGTTGTTTGTGTGTGTGTGTGTGTGTGTGTGCTCGTTTATATATAGGATTGGATTTCCTACATTTTTCAACTGATTTCAACAAAACTTCACTTTTTTTTGGCAGGTAGTGTTTCTTAATATCTTGCACACTTTTTTCTTTATTTTTACATTCAGAATGCTTTAAAAATTCCATTTACAAGACAATTGTTTATAATAAAATTCTATTCAATCGGTAGACTCATAACGATTGAAAACAATGTTTTTGTTTGAGTTTGGATTTGACCAATTCATAAAAAAAAAAAAAAAAAAAAATAATTAAGACATGTGTGTCTGTCAACCTTAAACAATAATCTTTGTCAATTTTATTTTTCAGTCTTTATGATGGTCGATACTTGATCTATCTCTTACTGTTGCAACGCCGGGCTCTACTGCTCATATATATATATATATTTGTAAATATATTTAATTTTTAAAACCAGTTAATAACAGGGGCAAGAAATGGCTTGTTAATTTTAATGAAACTGATGTCTTTTAATTGTCTAACAAAACCTATTTCGTCTTCCATCAGCTTTGAATGATGCTAATCTTCAGGTGAGTAATTTATTGCGCCTTCTTGGTCTAACGTTTTCCCCTTAGGTGAAGTGGAATGATTATATCGAAACAATTGGTAGGTCTGTTACCTGGAAAGTTGATTTACTGTGTTGCAGTAGACAATTTGTTAAGTGTATCATAAGTTTACTGCCTTTAATAAGTCTACCATTCATCCATGCATTGAATACTGTGCCACATCTGGTCTTGGGCTTCTGCTATGTATCTAGAGATTTTTGATAAAATTCAAAAATGAATCTGCAATATTATCAGTCCTGACCTGGCATTTCAGTCAATTTCCCATTACCATAATGTAGCTTTCTTATGCCTTTTCTATAAATATTTTCATGGCAATTGTTCTGAAGAGCTTTCCTCTTTGGTACCTTGATTTCAAGAATTTAAGCACAGTAATGATTTGCAGCTACATCCCATAATTTAATGTTGAAATTGCTTGATAAAACCGTAAGTTCTATCCTAATAGTTTCTTCCCTCACACTTCTTGCTTGTGAAACTTTCTTTCAGCTTCTTGCTTTCCTGTCTACACCAATTTTTAAATGCAACATCAATCGTCATTTCTGTCTCCTTGAATCATGTTCTTTTAATGTTTTTCTCAAATTCTTTTACCAATAGTACCCCCCTTGCATTTTAGTAGCTTTATTGTCTTGCTTGGCGTGAAATAATTAAAAAGAAAAAAAGATTAAATTTTAAAGAAAAACAATGGATCAGAAGGTGATCTATACATGGGGAATAAAAGACTGAAATCTTGTACTAGCCGAGAATTCTTTATCCAAAATTCTTGAGACTGGAATTGCTTTGATTTTCAGATTTTTTCAGATATTGGAATACAAGCTATTTAATTTGTATATAGCATCTATAAGATAGGGCAGCCTAGGAATTAAACCCAAGCATAAACAGGATATCCCTTTACATTTCATAACACAGCTTATACATCCTTCCTGAAAATAGTTTTATATAAAATTTAATAAATTTTGCGTACATACAGATTGGGTCACCAATGACATGGTTCTCCCCTGTGGCAGGTTACCCAGCCTATATGCCCTTCAACAGGGCCATTTCTGCTGGCTTGTACATGTACACCATTGGAGGATTTGAACCGGCCATCAGCAAGAGGATGAATTTATCTTTGCTTCAAGGACATCTGCTCAAGGGACATGAGGGCAATCGAGAGGGGAAGACATCACTAATGATTGCTCATGCTGGAGATGCAATTTGCACCGAGGGTTGGAGTGAGGAGAGAATAAAAGAAGGCTTTCCACTGGGGAGAAGCATGCTCAATGGAAACAAAAAAAACAAAGCGACATTGGTGGATAGTGTCTTCACATGCATTCACTGCAATCAAGACTGTTACTTCTGTGTGGGCCTGTACAGCCATAAGAGATTCTGCACTGACATCAGCAGCTGAGGTATAACTCTTTGGGTGCAGATCCAGCATTTCTCAAGACCAATGGATACCACATACATACAAAGCCATTTGTCCATTTGTTAGATTAACCTCTGAACCATTGTATCTTAGAAATGATTAAAGATATCTTAATGGAATTCTCTGAGGTTTTTATAACACTACTGAACTCTACTTTGACCAATAAGAATGTAAAATTACTCTCCAAGCTTAACAAAAGAATCATGATGAAATCTATCATAAACAAAAATGACATGTTCATCATTAATTAATCATAGCTAAGGATCAGAAGCTAATGAAAGACTGAAAGTTCAAATATATATATATATATTATATATATAGGTAATTATACTCGTTTCGAAAAACCTTTGAATTTTTGATTTGCCAATAATCAAATCAATCTCGAAGGAAAAAAAGATTTTAAAAAAAGAAAGAGCTAGAAACATGAAAGTCTGTCAAAAGAGATCGCACAGATACAGGTTTAAAGCCCAAAGAAAAACCCCCGACACGAGTAAACAACTAACTTTCCCTGACAATCCGCTTAGGTGAAACCTGGGTAGGTTTGTCTGGCTCACTAGGTGTATATATATATATATATATATATATTATTCCACAATCATTTTCCAACTTATTCAAGATGATCTTCGCCCCCTCTCTAGCCTTCTAACTTTCTGTGCTGGAGTAACAAGGTGCTTCACATGTTTCACGTACAATTTCATTTTCAAGTCTTTTATTCACTGCTCTTTGGACTCTCATAGCTGAAGCTCCTCTCTCATGTGTGAAACATCATATGGATTTAGTTGGATCTTTTCTAATTGATCTCTTTAACCCTAAGTTGAAATGATGATCCCTCTTCCTGTTGTGACTTCCTGATCCAGCTTTTCTCTTTCTTAAACTTATTCATCATTTTTTTTTATGGTTCTTGAATGGACTTTGAAGATGGAAGCCAGAGTATGAATGTTGGTATCATTACTGAAGGCCTGAATGATTTTTTTCCTCTCACCATTGCCCAGTTGAGAAGACAGTGATGAAAATGATTTGATCCTGTTCTCATTCTAGCTGAATAACTCAAAGGGTTTTTCAGTGAGTCTTACAACAAACGGTATCAAGATGGCTAAATGTCTTATCTGAAAACCTAGAAAAAAGAAACTCAGTTTAGTGGGGTTTTTTATATATTAAACAGTTTTTTTTTGGGGGGGGGGCTAAACTGTTACATGATTTGGCTAATGCAGTACTTTTTGAATTATATCTTTCCTGAGCATGAAACACCTGATAATGTAATTCACTAATGAAGGTGTTGATGTGATGATCACTAACAAAAGAACTGGCAGCAACATAGGCTATTAGAATCCCCACCCAGGACAGATGAGGTCACCTGCAACAACTGCCCATCACCTAGGAACTTTCCCAGTGCTTTCTGAATTTTTCCATTTGTAGCTAGTCATGTCAGCACCTGAAAAATTTTCCTTACTTCTCAGGTAAAATGTTGCTAGCCTCTCCCTACTCTATTGCTATTATTATGGGAAATGTTCTAACTTACTCTTATCAGTTCAGACCTTCAAAGCTAGGATCTGCTATGCCATTTTCACAGTGGCAAATCATTAACGTTTGTGTTCCTTTAGTAAGGAGTAGGTTACTCTTAGACAGCTTCTTCCCCAGATCTGTTACTTTTGTGGAAGAGACCCCAGAGAGAATGCTTCCCTGGCCACTACAATCTTCACCTCTTCAAGCCCAGAGTTAACCATTATCTATCCCATATATCCTCATAATATGTACTTCCTGTTTCCTCTTCTCTTACAACAATCTCGATCAGTAATCTTGAGTGGCCATTGGGTATGGAGTAAAAAAAAAAAATGTTTCAATTAAATTCTATTCTGATTAATTTGAATATAAAGATGAGAGAATAAGAGATTGGGTTCTATAACAGAAAGAGACTTCTATAACATTTTATGCCGGTGGGAAAAGTAGCAGCAAAAATTCAATCTGAACAGGGATTTTGGGTTAATCACTTTTGATGTTTCAATGTAAATAACAAATGATAAATGTTTCACATTTCATACTCAGTGTCTCAGGTTTGTATCTTTATCAGTTTAAAGGGATTTTTGACTATCTTAAAATTTGATTTAATAGATATGTGCAAAAATCCCCACATGAAAAAACAGTTTAAAAAAAAGTGTTTTGAACTTTTCCACACACACACAACATAATATATATATATATATATATATATATATATATATATATATATTTATTACAGTTCAAAAGTTTGAAGACACCCCCAGAATTAACATCGATTGAACTTGACAGAAGAGTGGAAAAAAAAAAAAAATGAAAAACAGCTCTTAGTGTCATTAAAAAAAGTATGGAATCAATTATCAAACTTATACTTTGAGAAACTTTTGCAACAAATGGAAAAAAATTGTGCTGCAGTTATCAAGGCTAAAGGAGGCTATTTTGACAAGAGCAAAATTTAATTATAAAATACTTTTTTTCTTTTTGTCAGATTAAAATTTCTAATAAAAATCATGTCTCACTTTTTTTAACCATGTATAATAATTTTCTCTTATTTAAAGTACAAAAAAAAAACACTCTTTGGGCAAATT